GCGGGACTTTCTCCTTGCATTGAAGACCCATTGGTGGCCTTCGGGTGTTGTCTGCTCTGTGGTCGGGTTGTTGTCTCTTTGACACATTCCCCATTTCCATTCTCAATTTTATTATCAAAGAAACACAGGTCATTGGTGTTGAAATGGACCAAGAGGAGCTGAAATAGCTCCGCACACTTTGACTGTGGATTTTATCTATCTAAATTACGTTTTTGCTTCATCATACATATATAATGTTTATTTAGAATATTAAAGTATCTGAACATCTGTTTTTGGTCTCATTTGCCAGAGCTCAGTCCCAGTGGAACTAATCTTTGTCCGGATGATCCGGACTGGTTCAATCAAACACGAGGGGACGGTGATGCATAGCCACCCGACCCTCCTCTTACATTTGTTACAGATCCCAAATGGTCACTATGTTCTATCTAATGATATAAAAATTTGAATACCACAAAAATATCGAACTCCAAGGAAAATTCAAATTGGAAAGGCTAAATCAAGAGCTCAAACACATCAAACAAATGGAAAACATGTATTCCTAACTTGGTACAGTCATTTCCTTATGAAGAAAATGGTGGATATGACCGGTTTTGTCGTGTCACTGGTCTGTGGTGTGAATTTGGAATTGGAAACAGGAAATGTATGTATTGCAAGGGTTGTTTACATGATTGAATCCCTAGATCTTTCTTGATTTGCGATTCCAGTATTTTTCACATTTTCCAATTAATGGCGTTGAACAGACTTATATCACTGAATGAATACGTAATCGGGACGAGTAGATTACAAATTTATACTCGACGCAAAGTTCAATTACATGGTGAATATGATGTGATATACTATTATACATATTTCAGTTTCAATTTTAATCCATTTACAGGTTTACTTATTTTGTTTATCATACACCAAATGAAAATACAAAATACATAAAATGTTTATGTTTGTCACATATCTCAGCATTCAAGAAAGTTGAACATGATGAAGGCTAATTAAACAAATCTTAAGATTTTAGGGAACAAATCTGACATTTCGATACTTATCCCGTCGGCAGAAGGGTTTTTATACGGAAATAAGAGAAACATTGTCATATGCTCGTACCTCATATTGGATTCCCATGCTTTAGATAAGAAGGTGTAAATATATTTAATCGATTTTAAACAAAGAATCACTACGAGATCACGTTATAAAGCATGGGAAGATGTTAATAACTAAGAATGGCGAAAGGGATTTGAATGGTTTATGAAAATAAGATAGCTTATATAATACAAATGGTTGTATAATTAGGAATTTTAATATGTAACATGCTTAGTGGTTGTCGTTGGTAGGTGTCTGTCGTAAATGATTTTCGTTTATTGTTTTGTCATAAATCAGGTTGTTTTTTTTTTTTTTCGTTTTTGTCATTTTGGGTTTTTTGTATAGCCAACTATACGATATGGGTTTTGATGATTGTTGTAGGTCGTAATTATAGTTGTTAACAAGCATTTCATTTGGACCCTGTTGGAGAGTTGTCTCATTAGCAAACCTACCACATCTCCTTATTTTTGATTTGGTTATGAAAAAAATGAAATAAAAGTGAAAAAAAAAGAAATTTAAATGACGGAAAATACATGAAATAATTTACTTTTGTTTTTCGCTAAATTTACACTTAGACGTCATATCCAATAAATTTACTTTAATCCATAAATACAGTTGTCACGAAAATGAATGGTTCAACCTGTAATCAGGAAGCAGATAAGTACTTTTCACTCGAATATTATAGGATATCAAAGAAGTTATATATACGACATGTTTGTTAAGGGTAGTTTTAGTCTCGAGCATGTAACAATTTTATAAACCAGGATATATCTTGACGTATTTTACGGTAGTACGAAGTACAGGCTTAAATTTATAAGTAATAAGTAAAAATAAAGTGTGTATCATAATCACATAGTAAAGATTAATAATACCTAATTTCACACAATAAAAAGAAAAAAAAGTACAAGGTTCTCGGTGTTTGATTCTGTCGGATAACGTCATACGGAAGCCATTAAGGGACACATAAAAAATAAAATTAATCCGTGATTTTGGATTCCCAATCCGTCATCTCAGTTTTCAATCTGTGATATTGGATTTATAATCCGTGATCTCAGTTTAATAATCCGTGATGTCGGTTTCCAATTCGTGATTTCGGATTAGGTTTTTTCCTAAAAAAATATAGTTGATTTTTCATATTCAACCTATTTATTATGATTTAAAGACATATTGTGCTTTATAACTTACCTTAAGAAATAAATTGCAAACACTTGATAGAATGGCTAAACCTTTTCATGTTTTGTTAACATGAAAACTTGGGAACTAAGCTTATTCCATGCATGCATGGACGAAGGCAACTTATGTTGCATGGACTAACACAACAGACTTAGTCCATGAACGCATGAGCTAAACTAACTTTACATAGATATTTGAAATTATTCAATGATTCAAGTAGACTTAGTCTATGCAAGCATGGACTAAGTTAACATTAGTTTCCTTCATCCATGCATGCATGGAGTAAGCTTAGTTCTCAAGTTTTCATGTTTACATAACATGAAAAGGTTTAGTCATACTATCAAGTGTTTGCAATTTATTTCTTAAGGTAAGTTATTATGCACAATATGTCTTTAAAGCATAATAAATAGGTTGAATATGAAAAAATCAACTAAGAAGAAAAAAATGATAGTAACATCAAATTAAAAAATAATCTTACTAGCAGCATGAAATAAAGCGGTAAGAAGTAATGCAGGTTTTCTAAACTCGATGTTGATTTCCAGTTTTATTTAATACCTTGTTTATAGTACATATCGAAATTCCACTTAATTTGGATATTGTCATTTTTGGCCTCTATGAAAATTATAAATTGAATTTTATCAAAATTAAAGTTATTCTACTGACAAAGTACTTCATTTACAGATCTTAGATGCCAGATGTAAAACCTCATATAAAAGGACTTCAAAATTAGATTAAAGAAAACTTGATTTTAGAAAAAAACATATTTCTTCAAAAAAATTGAGTGTGGAAGAATACAACTTGTACTGGAACTCCTGGGCTAAGGTCACTGAATAAATTTTAATGGTGTAAATTCATATACATATGTGTGTATATTTTATGTGTATATGTATATGTTCACTTTTTTGGTCTTTTGGAAAATGTTGTTTGTGCTGTATTTAGACCCCTCTTCCAAGAAATTTGTTTTACATGCACACGTATAAAAATTGCAGTTTTTATCCAACGCAATCATAGGTTTGAACGTTGTTTTCAATTTAGACTGGTTTATATTTTTTCGTTTGGGCTTGTATTATATTTTCCTTCGGGTTTATATAATCCATTCATCCTATTTCGACTCTTTAAAATTCAAGAGTCTATCCTAAATTGAGGTAAATTATATGGCCTTCCAAATACCGTTTCGATCCTTAACATCACTGAAGAGACATTAATTGTCGAAATACGGATATGGTGTACAAATTTTTGCACCTCATGTTTGCGGTATATCATCTTCTCCGCAAGTTTATTGTTTTCTGTTTCGTATTAAATTAAATATAAGATTCATGTTACATCTGGTGATCAATATATTTGGCAATCGTCAATGGCAGTCAGCAGGGTTTAAGAACATCCATTGTTCGACCTGTTAGTCAAATGCGTTTTGTTAAAATATACTTTTCACTTTTTTAGTCTTTTGGAAAATGTTGTTTGTGCTGTATTTAGACCCCTCTTCCAAGAAATTTGTTTTACATGCACACGTATAAGAATTGCGGTTTTTATCCAACGCAATCATAGGTTTGAACGTTGTTTTCAATTTAGACTGGTGTATATTTGAATGTATATTATACTGTTATACCATATGTATGTACATATATGTTCTTTCACTATCATATTACTACTATTATTATATTAATGAAAATGTTATTATCAAACTTAATCCATAGATTTCATACTGTTATATCATAGTATGCTTATTATGTTTATTTATTTCACTTGCTTGATTTTTGTGCCACAAGATAAATATATGTTAATACCTGTAAATTCATGAAGAAAAAAAAAATTATAAAAAAAAACATATTGAAGTCCTTCTATTATCTACTCTTATATACAATAGAATCAGTGCTCATCAGTTAGCTATTGAGGAAGGTAGATATAAAAAAAAATCGATAAAGATAAAAGATTTTGTGGTCAGTGTAAAAATATGCAGGTTGAAGACGAGTTTCATTTTTTAATGGAATGCACTGCTTATGAAAAGGAACGGAATTGTATTCTTAATGAAGCATGCATTCAATGTAAAAACTTCCCTTTTATTTCAAAGTATGAACAATTTATTTGGTTAATGTCATGTGAGTCTGAAAATGTTAATATGTCAGTGTCAAGATTTATAAGTACTTGCTTTGAAATAAGAGAAAATTTGCATTCCGGTAACTAACTAAATATACATGTAGTAGAGCTGTTACAGTAGTTTATTTATTTTTATGTATTCGAGAGGGTTAATATTCTATTTTATTTATTTTCAAACCCCATCTGGTATGGAGTATAGTTATTTAATCATTTATTTTTAATGTAATATATCTAAAAAATTACTGTATAATTAATACTATATATATATGTATATGCTCGGAAATGGGCCCTTTAATTGGATTCAATAAATATTCTTATTCTTATTCTTATTCTTATATACAGGACGATATCTTTCATGTACATCTGAACAACAATAAATTTCAATTAGAAAACAGTGAAAAGGCTACTCACGATAAGGTGTAACAATAGAAGGCATAATATTTGCTAATGAATCTGTTTCAAAAAATTGACAACTGGCATTCAAATGGGCTCCAATTGAGCCCACTCCTTAAAACATTTTTTTTTTCTGCATGAAAACGTTGCTTTACATGTATCAACACAAAAACGCAACTTATAGTTTACTCTATAGAGTAATAAAGAACAGTTGTATCATGGTATTGTTTTCACAGTATATCATAGCATATGTATCAATGAACAACGAATTTGATTATTGTAATTTTATTTAAAGAAATATAAGTTTCCCCTGTGCTCGTTATCACAGATCTTCATTTCTATATAAATACGATATAAAAGCAAATATTAAAAGTATATCATACAAAACTATTTTATAAAAATATAATCCATATAATTAAGAAAAGGCTGGTAGTTTCTTTCACCGTTAACATGATGGTTGTAATGTTTGACAGGCCCTGAGAGTATTCCAAATGGAATTATTCGGTGTATTCCTAAAGGTATGTCATAACCAGTATGGTTTTCTACTAATAAAAAAACAAATACTGGAACAAAAAATGTTCTTGTAAGTGGATGGCTATTGAAACATTTTAGTGCAAAATTAGCAGATAATACGAGAGATAATCTTTCGGTCACCGTTAATTGGTCAGTGATGTGTGGATGAAGAACGTCATGATCATGGTGGTAGCGATGAAATGTTTTATACAACCAAAAGTTTTTATGAAGTGAATAATGTATAAAAAAGAAAATTAAATCAAACAACAAAACGCTTCCAATCAAATGAACAACCAATTGCAATACTGTTGGTGGCATTTCCGGTAAAGCACGTGACGTCTGAATCCAATTGACTCTTTTGTCATCCCAAACGTCAGGTTGCACTCCATGATACTTTTTAACAATGAATGTGTCCATGGTAGCTAATGGCGCCATATAAAGAATAGCTTTCCACACAAGAAATAAAACTGATTGATGTTCATAAGTAACTGATGGATGGATTTTGTATTTTTCTAACGGTTTAATGTAGTGAAGTACAAATGGATAAATTGCAATTATAAACGCATAGCAAAAAGTTGTAAACCATGTCTCAAAATATACTGAATTGTATATTGTAGATGTAAGTAAAAAATACCAAAGTTGGTCAATCCATGTTTGAACTTGGTTATTGTAGATGTACGTTAATACTAAAACACCAACGATTATTATTCTTGTCATCAATACTAAATCATATCTTTCGTCATATAAGGCTTCTTTCTGCTGATAATTCTTACTCTTCTGTTGCTTAGAAACTGGAGATACTTTATTCGAGGTTGTCGACATTATAGCTTTATCTGAAAAATACATAATTGTATTGTGTCTTAAGGAAATAAATACTTTAACTTAATTTTCGCGATAAAAGCAGTTACGTTTGAAATAACATCAAGATGATGGTACAACGTCAAACGAGAAATCATTTAATAGTATTTATTTTTAAGCAGCGCATATTAAATGATACCATGACAAAGATATCTGTATTTACTAGTCGGTACGCATCTTACACTCTCGTCCAAAAATTATTATTATTTTTTGTCATTTTGGATCCTTTACTCATTAATACTGGGCATGATGTTGGAATTGTGTGACAAGTGATAAAGGTATAACAGGAGATGAATGCCTTATCGACGTACCTATGTGAAAGGTGATGGGTGTTACTCAGGAGATGGTTGCCTTGCCGACATACTGTATCAGACTAATTGTGTGACAGGTGATGGATGTAAAAAATGGAAAATGATTGTCTTGTCGACATGTGAAAGATGCAAAGAAGAAGAGTGTTACCTTGTCTACAGGTGATGGATTTAAAGCAAAAATTTGCCTTAACTAAAGGTGATTTGTGTAAAGTAGGAAACAATTGCCTTGTCGACAGATGATGGATGTGAAAATAGAGATTTTTGCCTTGTCGACGAAACTTTGTGATAGGTGATGGATGTAAAGGAGATTATTGTTGCCTTGGCAACAGGTATTGATTGTCAAGCAGGATATAATTGCTTTGTCAGCATGTGATAGGTGTTAAACAGGATATTTTTGCCTTGGCGACAAAACTTTGTGATAGGTGATGGATGTAACGCAGGTGATGGTTGCCTTGTCGACAGGTGGTGGGTGTTAAGCAGAAGAATTACCGTGTCGACATGCGGTGGATGTTAAGCAGACAGACCTGGGGTAATTAAAAATGTAATTGTAATTAGCTGTAATTAATTACAATTTTGAAAGTAATTCAATGTAATGTGTCATTGAGCATATTTTCAATTACATGTAGTTGAAAGTAATGAACTACGTTGCCTTTTTCTCATGTAGTTATGAATTACTTTGAATTACATTTAAACATTTTCTAAGAAATTTTAAACATTTTTGGCTTTTCTAATGCAATTTATAATTTGTTTCCACTGCATTTAGTATACACTTGGTACTTTCATTGATTTAAATATTTTTAAATATTTATCATGATAAAAAAATATAACATTTCTTGATATTTCATTTAACATAATAGCATGTATAATAATCTTTATCTGTATTTAAATTCATTGATTTTTTCACATGTTTACATAAAAAATCTAAAAATTAAAAACAATACCAATTTATTTACCTACAATTTGTAAATATGTTGTTCTAACAAGTATATGTAAGAGAATGATAATCCCTTTCTTCATGATTAAGTACGAGCGTTAGCGAGTACTTATCATGAAGTAAGGGATTATCATTCTCTTACAAACTTAGAATATTGTAAAGTGCTCAAGGCTCAAATGATCTATTCAAGAATTAATTTCATTGTCAGTGCAATGTTTATAATTGATGCATGACTTCCTTTTTCGGCATGTCATTTATAGATTAGTTTTAGTGAAATGAGGACTATCTTATCATTTGGGAAATATTTAAAAAAAAAAGCATTATATATATTAGGTGACACAACAATAGAAAGAAAAGGTAGGAATTGTATGTTTCCTGATTGTGAGTATGAATGTAAATCATATAATATTTTAGTGAGGAATTATCCTTTTTTTATTTACAGTTTAAACCAATCAATACATTTGAGTTACAACTAAATTTTATTTCACAGCCAATATTTTGGTCCGGCTTTTTACATCAAATACTGTTTCATTGTGTCAGGGAAATGTTCAAAAATAGTGCCCTTAAAAGTTTTTAATATGTTCAAAATTAAATTCCTGGGTTTTTTTATCGGAATACATGTATTGGAAATAACTATTTTCCCCAACCGCTGATCAAGTTATCAAAGTTTTGGAAAGCTAAAGATTTAGGTTATTTTTTGTCTGAAAGATTTTTTTTCTTATTTTTTGCATTGCTTTGGTGTTGTTTAATTTTATAGTAATTTGAAGTTATTAATATTTTCATAATAACATTCACGGTACCAATTTTTCTGCACCAGTAAACTTCAACTTATTTTGAGATTTTTGTTTGTTTCACAATTCAACTTTTAGTTAGTTTCAATCACTGTGTGATAAATCCTTTCAATCTGATAAATGTGCTTCGGGGCAGTTGTAACTCAGTTATAGAAACTCTTTGTTTTGAACTGTAAATAGACCCAAATAATAGGATAATCCCTTACTAAGAACATGATTTACATTCATTCTTCACAATTAAGAGGCATCCAATCCTACAATTTCATTAGTCGAGAGTACTTTGCTATATTCTAAGTAACAATAATCTTAGCCTTGAGGTTATTCCTTTCATTTTACTAATTCTAAAGTACAAGTTTTCCCTTGATTAAAATGCCAAAGGCAATTTTTATTTTAAACCATCATATTTATATGTTAAATGGATGGATATTTTTTAAATACTTTCTTAAAAAAAATTAAATACAGCAGCAGTCAAAACATACAAGAATGGAGTCCAATAATACTTGAAAATTTTGACTTGCCAAAAGACAAGTCTGGAAAATGCTACCATTACTCTTCTGTATGGAAGCTTGAAAGTTACTGCAAATTTCACACGAGGTACACAAGAAAACCTTTAACATCTGAATTATCATTTTTAAATATAAACTTGAAATTTTAAGAAAAAGTTTTTTAAGAATAAAATATATATTCATCTGGATCTATATATATATATATATTATATAAATTTGTTCCCATAGAAATAAGAAATGCAATCAAATAATCAAAGTGAAAATCTAATAGTGATTAAATGTAACAATAATGTTAGAAATTTGAAAACTTAAAACAAATCTTTTACAAATGTTTGAACTGTTAAAAAGTGCATGCATAGATAAAAGTTTCGTTCTATTCTAGCCTGTTGTCATGTTTATGATTTTATTCTAAATAATGTAGCTCTTATATTTCTTTGGACAAAAGTAATTGAAATGTAATTAATTACATTGGCAATGTAATTGTAATGTAATTAATTACATTTGAAAATCAATGTAATTGTGATGAAATTAATTACATTTAAAAATCAATGTAATTGAAATGTAATTAATTATTTGGCATGTAATTGACCCCAGGTCTGTAAGCAGAAAAGATTGCATGGCTGACATCTGGTGGATGTTTAGCAGAAGTAGATTGCCCTGTCGACATGTGGTGGATGTAAAGTAGAAGATGGTTACCTTTTGGCGTCCCGGTGTGACAAGTGATTACTGTACATGTTAATCGTTTGTTTTTGTTGCACTTCAGTGTTTCTGTTGTTCCTTTGTTTTTCTCATATAGTTTGTAACCCGGATTTGTTTTTCTCTCATTCGATTTATGACTTTTGAACAGCGGTGTACTACTGTTGCCTTTATTTATAGCAAACTTATCGAAAGATGATTTGTGTAAAGTAGGAGATGGTTGACTTGTCGACAGATGATGGGTGTAATATGGTGGTTTTTTTTCATGTTACATCATCGCCGGAATATATTCACAAGGATATGCATTTTTATCCTCTCTGGTGTGGTATTTGGAAAAACGTATACGTGTCTTTTTACCTTTCATGGAGACACCTGATCATTTATGTGCTTTATGGAAGGCGGTTGTATTTGCTTACATCTTGAGGGGAGAGAAATTCTGAATAATGCAATAAGATTAAGAATGTTTTAACTTAACCACTTCTATATTAATATTCGGTTTATTAAAACAGATATAACATGTTCATAAGGGCATGCAAAAGATAGCAGTCTTGTGAAGAAATTTCTATTCGCCTTATGGCTCAGGAAATTTTTCGACTGTTTTTTCCCAAATACCCCTCCTAAACATGATTTATATGTTCAATATTCACTTTAGCTGGTTGTCTTTCTTCAACGTATGTTCTATTGCCCCCCTTTAATTGATATATACTACCCTTTGTAATACATCATTTTAGTATTGATTGCTTCCGCTTTAAAATCTAAAGAAACCTGATAGGAGTTGCATTAATTCTTAAAATCCCTTTAAAAGATTTATAGATTATTTGATTGATGATTATAACTTATAAAAATCATTAACAAATTAACGGTGTATAATAACACGAAATAAAATAGTGTTAAGCTATCCATTGACTGACTTAAAACAACACAATATTTTCATAAATATTCGATTTATATTATTTATCTTTTCATATCTGTGTATTTGAATTATACATGTCAATAAGGCTTATATGAGAATTACATTTCTTTGAACTCCAAGCCCTCACACATGAAATGGTTATTTTTTTTAGGTATAGTAAAAAGTTTATGTCGTTCAGTACACGCGTGAGCTTATTAAAATCATGCAATTGTATGCCTTATTTGGGTGTAGTATTCATCAACTTATGATATTGAACAGCATGTTAACTCTACTTACATAAACGTACATTGAAGATCAACACTGAGCCAGGAAACACGTTTTAAAAAGCCTAAACATTAAAACAGAAAATAGTGTAACCAAGCATGCATGCGCCAGCTTTAAAATACATTCTGATATCAAAATCAATGCAGCCAACTGGTCAATAATACAATAGGTGTCTAACTTACCTGTGTGTACGGTTATCAAATCCTGAGTTTGAAATACAATCGATCTGTATGTCATTCACCTGTCTCTGGTAAAGTGTGTCTGTTTTAGTTACTTAATTGACTAATAAAAAATGTGTTGCTATCGAAATAAAGCGCGACAATTCCATTTAAAATATTTGACAAGCATACTATTTTATTTGCCGGAGTTCGTGATCGCTTTATCTAAAAATAAATCGTATTTCTTGAATCACAAAGCGTTGATTTACGGTTCACTATTCAACATAGTTCATTATTTGAATGTGCACAGTCACCATAATTTACATTGTACAGGGTGAAATAAATAATGTGAAGTGAGATGTCCTTTACACGGCCTAATAACTTCAAATCCGGAAGGAGATGATATAGATAGCCATCAATTGTAATATGGAAGGACGATGGTATCATATATAGTTGTTCAACAAGATCAAATCAAGTCTAACGGACAAAAAACTGCATAAATGTCATACAATACATGTAACATGGGGTAGGAAGTGGGGGGATATAAATAATAAAATCTGAGCATAAAGATACATTCAAAAAGGGTTTTTCATATCTACTTCAAATAAGAATAACATGGTTTTCAAATTTCCGTTGAACCACAACATATATATCATTACAAGTATGTTTTAGATGAGTATGAATAGTCTATTAAGAATGCCAGTAACAACGTTTTGTTTAATTCGAATGTATTATTGTCCACTTATGATTGTACTCGGCTTATTTCCTGTTGTATGTCCGTTTTATTACGTCCGGTTGCTTCGATGATATTTAAATAGTATAACTACAACAATTTTGTATTCGTTAACATGCATGATAAATCTCAGAGTTAAATAACCTCTATAAAGAATTAAATTACATACATTTCTTTTTTTTTAAATATATACTATATTATATACTACCCGAAATACACATAAATAAAAGTACAGGTTTTTCCTTTCTTATGAGTGTTTCGAAGTATCATAAATTTATGTCAGCCTTTGTTATTGTTGTAGCGTAATTTTTAAGGGAAACGACAGGTTGTTTTTTCGTTTTTTTACAAGTATTTATTACTTTTATTTTTAATTTTCGGTTACTTTATTTGTGTTTCAGTCTTAATAGTAAATACCATAATGTGCTACTTAACAAGGAACAGACTCGAGAAAGCTTATGACCAAGATACATAGCATAAATATTGTTTGTCATGAGAGATTTTAAATATTTCAACTTATTCAGTATATATTTTGAAAAATATCAACAAAAAAGTCTGAATTTGCATTACGTTTGACAAGTTTTCCGGTTTCCTGTTTCGGAGATTTTATGAAAAAATCTTAGTTTAGACTCAAAATTGTAATTTATGGTCATGCAATTTTGTCACTTTCCTTATACAATCATGTTTGTGATGTTTCAAATAGAGCTATTTTGTACTTAAAGATGCTGATCCATCAATAACATCAATATAAAAATTTCCTAGTTTTCATTGATTTTTAATTTAAAAAAAAAACGACAATTTTATTTCAAACTCATCTATTTTCACCTATATAAACTTGATAGACGTTTAATTATTAAATATGATGACATTCAAAGAGAAAAAATACTTTCTGTAGCAATTTAATTGGTGTTTATGCCTCGTCTGCATAGATTAACAGGATTATAAGCCACCAGCCATGCACCGATTTAAAATAAATGTTTTTTTTCAGGGATGAATATGAAAGCAAATAGTTTAACAAGTAACTGTTGACACAGAGATATGTCTCGCCTTTATTTAATTTAATAGTTTAATCAAATGTTAAAGCAAATTATTACTTTAACATGTAAACTATGCAAAACGTAAAAAGCTAATGAACAATGACTGAAGGTGCAAGGCTTAATCAATTTCCATGGATATGAGATATCCCAATGTTTATACAATATCATTGACTCATCATCGGTAGTTCCCCTTAAATTGACCTGATCTCAAATTTTAACAAGTAAACTATTGAAAAGTTCTAACATCACTGAACCATGATTGAGGGGGCGGGCCATATAATCCATTGAAATGACATAATCTAATTATATTACAACTGTTTACCAAATATCATTGACTTACCATTACCGGTTTATCTAAAACTGACCTAATCACTTATTTTTACATGAAGCAACGCAAAAGTGGCCTAATCATAAACTTTCATATTTAATCTAAGTAAAAGTTTCGAAGTCATTAGACAATGACTGAGGGGCGGACCTAAGAAATTCCCATGGATATAAGATGTGCTAATGCTGATACAACTGCATACCAATTACCAATGACTTACCATTATTGGTTACCCGTAAACTGGCGTACACATGTAACCACAAACTTTCCATTTGCAAAAGTTATTGATTTATTCGAATGAGATGTTTATGTCAGAATAAGGTCCGTTTCAGCTTGCTTGAAAATCATACAGTAAGAATTGTTAATATAAATCTTTGCTGCTTTATCAATCTGATATTTTTATTTTCTTTAACTTCCCTGGTTTGGTTTCATACATGTACAGAGATTTGGTGTGTTCCTGTTTCAACATTTTTAACAAATTTCACAAAACACTCATATAGGCTGCTCTAGTCATTGTTTTTTTTATAGGAAAATGATTACATTATATCATAACTCAGTTTTCATTATCCCGTGCTTAATGAAGCAAAGCAATGGAGATAATCAAAAATGCTTTGATATTCGTCGCATGTAATCTTAACCCATCTATCTAAGGACAAATATCAAAAATTCCTAACCCTATGGCACAATATACAAGTATAGTGTTAAGTTGTGCCAAGTTTCAATATTTTTGCAGAGATTATCAAGGATGTAATGTTAAGAAGACATGTCAACCCTGATAGAACATATTTTTTCTTACTATGAGCAGACAATACTTTGCTCTTACTCTTAAAAACGTCACATGCTTCGGGAAAACGTAGCAAATACATTTAAAAACTTAGACGGACTTGGACAAACATAAAACAGCGATGTCCCACATTTGAGGTGTATACGGTACCCCTAGCAAAATCAACTGAATGATAAGTTGAAAATATAATAAATTGAAAAATGACCAAATGACACCTTACCTAGATGTAGTGTAGGTTAATTGTTGGTTTTTAGGTGTATAGCAGTAAACAATATGTGCATTTCTTATTAGTTAACGGATGCTTTGTGAATAAGCTCCCCGTGTTCTAAGCTTTGTGTGTTATGCCGTCACTATGTCTCCTAGATCTGCAAATAACCGTTGAACAGTGTATGGAAAGTATTATAATTTATCAATGAAAACCTGGCGACGACATGAGGTTGCAAAAAATAGATGATGCAGTTTATTATGCCATTAACACTGTAAATTCTATTTGAAAACATAATGAAAATCAAAACATCAAAGATTGGTATCAATTAAAAAAAATAAAAAATGTAATAATTTTTTATTTCGATAAAGACATTACCCATGGCGGATATGCAAACCACAAAGTAAAATATGTATACAATTCAGCCAACTTCCTTCCCTCTGTCATACCACTTAAGAACTTAGTACTTTTAAAATAATCAATAGGGAAACTGGCTAGGCGGCCGGGAAAAACTACTTTGTTATTAAAAAAAATCACATCGGTAAACATGGGACTGCCTCGGCAACTTCTAAACTTCTTATAACCGAATATTTTTTCGGTCGAATATATATATATATATATATATATATATATATATATATATATATATATATATCGATTTGATATGTCGATTTGACTTCCTTTATTTTAGTGATGTCGAACATTTTTATGCTCTACATAATATTTCTTTCCTGGTATGGTTAACAAAATAATAAAACAATTGTTAGTTTCTCGTGGACATATATAAGAATTAAATTGCTGCACAAAATCTCTCTGCAAATCGTAGTATACTTTAGCCTTCTTCATGTATAACACGTCTGATTTTAATCCCATCCTCAAAACATCTCATACCCCTTACTGTTCTCTATCATAAATTGTTTTTGATCCATCTTGCAAGGGTCATATCCAGTAAGCCACCATGTTCGCATATCGCCCTTTCCCTACAAATGTATAAATAATCTTGATTAAATCAAAATATAGCCATTCAATAAAGTGAACAGCATTATCCAAATTAAGTTTGATATTTGAAGCCAATAACAAATGTCCAGGCTGCAAAGTTGCATGTACATTTAGATATTTAAGCCATTTCAATTTTGTGAAAGACTAATTGATTTTTTACTGAATTTTCATTTAAAATTATCGGAGTTGTCTCCCATTCTTCACTCAATGCACACTAAATATAATGCTCATTTTTTTTAATAAGATTTATGTATATACTGTTTGACTGCCAAGAATGAAAAAAGGAAAAAAAGTCAGAATTAACTACTAGAAATATTGCCGATTTCGTTTGTTTTCCTATTGTGTCTCATCCTGTCCTTAGATTTTTATTTCAAATGATAAAATGTTATCATTAGGTTATGATTTCCGTATTTTGAAGTATCAACAATAAAATACCAAACATTACCTTTACACTTATTACTCCTCTTTCCTCGACCTGAAACCCTCCAGCAATTGCCAGCTCTGTATATGTATCATCACTTATGTGAATTTTATAAGCTGAAAAGAACAACAGTATGATTTTTAGTATACATAATCTCATTATATTATTTATCATATAATGTTTTATTTCACGTTTTGTTTTGATGTTTATCATAAATATGAATGAAATTTCGATGCTTGGTAGTATGTTTGCATTAAACATATTAAACCTGAAACATAAAAAAGATTAAGTTGACCTGTTTCATAAGTATGATATAGTTTTTCATGTTACATTTCTAATATTAATACTAAATCAATGTAAACGTAGATAAATATTGACTATATTTTGAGGAAAAAGTAGTTTTTCGTAAAAACTAATTGGATTACATATTTCTATACAAAAACTTCACATCTACAATCATCATACTTCAGTTTTCTAATAGGTACATATGTTAGTGAAATGATTTTGTGCATCAAGCCTAGTGAAGTAATAACCTCTATGGACGTTTGAGAAGACAAAACCAACTTATAATATGTATGTCAAATCTGAATTGCTCAGCCGCCACATATTTGATAGAGTTCAAAAGTCATCTTCTGTTATCAATCTAAATAAATTAATCCATTCGAATCAACTTAAAATCATAAATTCATTTCATGTAATATACCTTCTGTCTTTTAAACCATAAATCTTAAATACTTTCAATGAATTTGTGATTTTGTGAATTCCTATTGCTTCAATTATAGTCCTGGTACCTATGATGATTTTATATTCTATATCTTACATGGAATTCATTAAATTAGCTGATGAAAATTGATAAAAACGTGTATTGTTTATTATTTAAAAATAAAAAGATCTTTTTTATATGGGTCAACTATCAACCAAAGACAAAAATTAGACCTCCGGACGGTCTGCAAATCTTACCAAAACCAATATCGTATTGAAAGTTCTGTGTTCATTTAAATATCAGTGCAGATATAAAACAAAATTAAATGATTTATAAAAGTGTTCATATAAAATATTTAGGGAGTTTGTTCCTATTATTTTTTTTAAGATAAACTAATAGTTGGACTACTATTTAGGAGATACACTATTGTTTTAATTACGTTCTCCATTTGATTCCATCCTTGACGCTGTATTAACTGTGTCTCCAAACAAACAATACCTTGGCATAGTCCTACCTACAACACCAGCACAGACATACCCTAAAAAATCCAAAACATATAGTACCCATATCTTTAGAACAGACATATATTTTAGGGTGAAATGATAAGAACTGTAGCCAATGAAAACTCCACTGATTAATCTATGGATAACATTTACCAGCGAACAAGGTTTATACAATTTGAGACGATTCAATAATATGAACAAGACACTAGTGAGGAATCTTTCAAGTAAGGGATGTCCTTTCGGTGGCTTTATATTTAAACGTTATGTCCTACCTGATGAACGGGGATTAAATGTTATTATAATGCTACTAATTATTATATGATATAGACAATGAAAATAACATGATTTGCAGTTATAGATAACATAAAGTGCAACGAACGAGGACAGACTTTATTCACATTACTTTTATTGGTGTAAATACAACACTTTTATTAACCAGTTTAGTGCATTTTGTATGAAACTGCCCCTTTATCAATAAAAGCAAAACTGGTCCATTACAGACTAACAGCGCATTAAAACAGGGTCATTATGAATAAACAGGGCCATTATGAAAAAAAGGCCATTATGAATAATCAGCAAAATTGAGAATGGAAATGGGGAGTATGTCAAAGAGACAACAACCCGACCAAAGCGCAGACAACAGCCGAAGGCCACCAATGGGTTTTCAACGCAGCGAGAAAATCCCGCACCCGGAGGTGGTCTTCAGCTGGCCCCTAAATAAAATTGTGTACTAGTTCAGTGAAAATGGACGTCACACTAGACTCCAAAACATATAAATGAACTAAAATTAAAAAACATACAAGACTAACAAAGGCCAGAGGCTACTGACGGGACAGGCGCAAAAATGCGGCGGGTTAAACATGTTTTGTGAGATCTCAACCCTCCAATGATACATAAATGAACAAAGGACTACTAGCTGTTACTGACATGCCAGCTCCAGACCTCAATTAAACTGATTGAAAAATTATGTCTTCGTCATATGAAAATCAAGTACAATCCCTCCCGTTAGGGGTTTAGTATCATACCTAACATAACCCGTATCATGCCAACAACTGGTTTTAGAATAAATGTGTGCATTTCCGATGCAAAGACCCTATGAGTGAATCAATATTAATACCAAAATATGCAATCCTTAATGACTTGACAACAGTATCGTAACTATATCCTTTCCGAATAAGTCTGTTTAAAGGTTTGGTTAGCTTTTGAGGTGAATGCCGACAATTTTGTGCTTTGTAAAGAATATTACCATAAAATATTGGATGTGAAATACCTGAACGTATAAGATGTCTGCATGTTGATTTATATTTACGAATGATGTCCTTGTACCGATGATAAAATTTAGTAAATGTTTTGACTAGTTTGTGATATCGAAAACCCTGGTGTAATAATTTTTCAGTAATACAGAGATTTCTTTCTTTGAAATCAAATACGTTGTTACATACACGAGCGAATCGAACAAGTTGAGATATATAAACACAATAAGATGGTGACAAGGGAACGTCACCATCTAAAAATGGATAATTAACAATAGGAAATGAAAAATCATCGCTTTTATCATAAATTTTGGTATTAAGCTTCCCGTTAAAGATATAGATATCAAGATCCAGGTAAGGGCAGTGTTCATTGTTAGTATTAGCTTTATTTACAGTCAGTTCGGCAGGATAAATCCCTTTAGTGTACATACTGAAGTCGTCATTATTGAGAGCCAATATATCATCTAAATATCTAAAATTGTTATTAAATTTTTGAATCAGATGTTGTTTCGATGGGTCTTTGCTGATTTTAGTCATAAATTGTAACTCATAACAATACAGAAACAGGTCCGCAATAAGGGCTATTACGGATGTTCAGTTGTTATCAATTCAAATACATTTCTGGGGAAAGAAACATCAAGAAATTGAAAGTTCCCAAGACTCATGACATCTTATTTGACCCAGATGTCAAGTTGATAATCACATAATACATTCCATCATGTCTATCAATTCATTTAATCTTGAGTTTTAAAATCTAGAATGAAATCTTGTATTTTTTTATGCCATAAATTGCTTTCAATAGGACAACAATAAAACTATATTTACATTTACATGTTATTCCATCACATCACTTAAAAAGTTTCTTTTTAATATTGCATTTGGTATAATAATATATATATATATACGTTGTTTTCAATTTAGACTCATTTATATTTTTTCGTTTGGGCTTGTATTATATTTGCTTTCGGGTTTATATGATCCGTTCATCCTATTTCGACTCTTCAAAATTCAAGAGTCTATCCTAAATTGAGGTAAATTATATGGCCTTCCAAACACCGTTTCGATTCCTAACATCACTGAAGATACATTAATTGTCGAAATCCGGATATGGTGTACAAATTTTTGCACCTCATGTTTGCGTAATACCATCTTTTCCGCAAGTTTATTGTTTTCTGTTTGATATTAAATTAATAATAAAGATCCATTTTATTACATCTTGTGATCCGTTTATTTGGCAATCGCCAATGGCAGTCAGCAGGGTTTAAGAACGTCCGTTGTTCGACCTGTTAGTCAAATTCGTTTTGTTTAAATATACTTTTTCACTTTTTTGGTCTTTTGGAAAATGTGGTTTGTGCTGTATTTAGACCCCTCTACTAAGAAATTTGTTTTGCATGCACACGTATAAAAATTGCGGTTTTTATCCAACGCAATCATAGGTTTGAACGTTGTTTTCAATTTAGACTTGTTTAAGTATATTATTATTTATCTTATTTTTGATATTAGATGCATTCTTCAATCTCAATCTGTCCATCAAAAGCTTTACGAATTTAGAATTCCACTATTTTCTTGTATAAATTGAGAAAATGACGGTAGCAAAAAATATTTAATAATCACAGACATTTTTTTTATCTTGCAACTGGCGAAACCCTGAAACATGCTAGATATTCTGCAGATTGTCAAGGACTCATTTTTACAAGATACTAGGAGTCCCTACAAATTACCTAAAAAAATCAGGTTATTTTGTATATAATGTGATTTCAGTCGTATTCATCATACCATGTTCTCTTGTTGATTTTCGACGTAAGTGTTGCCACAAAATAAATGCATGTATTCCAATATTTCTCAGGTAAGGGGAGGGTTTGGCGCTCACAAACATGTTCAACCCCGCAACATTCTTATTTTTCGTAAATTTTGTTATAAAATTAGGCCGTTAGTTTTCTAGTTCGAACTGTCGGGGATTTTTATATCCGACTATACAGCATGGGGTTTCTCATTATTGAAGGCCGTACGGTGGCCCATAATTGCTTAATACGATTTCATTTTAACTCTGGTGGATAGTTGTCTCATTGACAGTCATACCACATCTCCTCATGTTAATTTCAATAGAAAACCTTTATGGAGGAACGCAAGACAAAAGCTCAGACATATTGTGGAGACCTCTGCAGGACTTGTGAATAGACAATAATCTCTATTGAATTAAATAAGTCATTATGTAAAATCTTGTTTAACAGTTATTTGCAATTTATATATACCTTGAAATGCCAATTGCTTCGTACTTTTTTTATTTTGAGACGATCCCCTTCATTTTACCTGTCAAAGTCGGTACCGAGACTAGACTTTCGTAAATCTCTAATACAGGCATCCTCGACTATATTAACTAATTAATACTATAATATTTCTTCAATAAGGTACAGCACAGTACGAAATATAATTGATTACTTTACCTGAATGCAAACCAATTCTTATTTTCAGAGGAGCATTTGGCAGATGAGGAATTTTAAAATGTTTTGCTGCTTCCACGATTTTCAGGGACATCTTAGCTATTTCTGATGCGTGGTTTGGAATACGCTTGGGTAACCCTGATGCAACCATGTCTAAAATAAAGTAAGATACTTTCAGTTCAATAGTATGATCCACATACCTGATAATAAAATGATTTTTTCATCTAATTATAAAACTGATTTTTCTATGTAAAACGGAGATATTGGTATATAAAAATAAAAAGATAATGTGTGTATACGTAAATGAGACAGCAGTTCTCTAATTTCCCAAATACTTCTAGGGTAAACATTCAGTATGATGAACATGATGACCTACTTAATCTCTATTTTATGTTGTAAAAGGTTTTATTCGACTTACGAAAAATCACGAGGAGGGGGATCTCAACTGTCGTACAAATTTGGATACAGACGCCCGGACGGGTTTAAAAAACACTCCATTCATATATTGATTTATTCAAAACTCTATCCGTTTATATATTTTATAGGGAAATCACAACCCATTTATATATATATTTCCTAGCTATCATGAAATCTTATTTAGACGTTAACCACATGGGATCTTTCATATTATCAGAACACAGTTTTTACAGACATCTTAAAAGAAGATGAACATTTATGACACATTGGCATACACATTTTTACCCATTGTTACATTACCTCCGTGAAGTTGCACCCCACTGATATATTTGACATTCCAAAAAAAGTGACCCATACCAGCGGCACGTCTGTATATACCGTTTCGACGTTTGAAAGATTATAATGCTACATGCTATCACTTACATGCATCGCCTATTGTTTCTACTTTATAGACACAGAAATTTTCTATAATTTCATCAAATACTGTGTAGAGTCTGTTCAGTAATCCTACAACTTCTAATGCCGAACTTTTGGAGCATAGTACTGTAAAACCAACAATATCGCTGAAGTATATGGTGCATTGGTCAAACGATTCTGCCTGCACAGATAGTCCGGTCTTTAAGGAATCAGCTACTGATCTAGGTAACATACCTGTAGTTCAAAAAAGATATTAGCAATTCTTAAGACATGTTTTGATGTATTCGGATAAACGGGTTGTACATCTTAAAGTCACCAAAGATATCATAGCATGTTTATACTTATAAGTGTGTGTTTCTCTTACAAACTTATCAGTGGCACAAATCAAAAGATACAAGGTCAAATCGACTACGACTTTGAAGAGCATTGGAAACCGAACCCAAAATTCCAAAAAGTGTATAACTGTATTTTTCATAGTCATATAAGTATGTAATTCGTGTTTGGTAATAAAATAAAATTCTATTTAAATATTATAATATCCCTTTTATTGCAATCGACAAGAGGCATATATTTTAAATGTATTGTATAAATGCATCAGGTTATAATTTGTTATAAAATTTCTTGACTCAAAAACTTTTATTCATAGGTACAAAAAAAAAGAATAAATGTCCTTATATAATTTGACACGAATGTAGTTTAATACTAAATTAATAATATAATAATCAAACAAGATTTGTATCCCTTATTGATTTTTCATATTTCGATATTAAAATTTTCATTTATAACGCTTTGTAGGATTTTTTTCATTACAAAACTTTTATATCCCTAAAAAAATGAACCAGAACCTAGCATAATTGTCCTATATTCATGCTATATAGAGTTTGCGCTAATATTATATTGTATAATTTCCTGCTTTCCCTTGAAATTAAAATTTCACTTTGAAAAAAATCTACTTCACAGAATTATGTATCCGAACACATAGTCAGACTTTCGTGCAACAAAATCATAAATCTGTCGATAATTTTTCAGAAAATAAGTCTCTCTTATAATACCACTTACTATACAATAATGTCTCTGTTCTGTGCTTTTCTGCCATCAAATCTTGAGTTCGTTCTGCAACAACAGATTCCAAATGTTTTGAATATTTTTCCATCTGAAAATAATAAAATGATAATTGTAGTACTAATCACAGGCAAAGGAAACAGAAATTGAATCCTGGAAATTGCGGCATACAATTTGGATTAAAAAAACAATATTGTTGCAAGTTGTTTTACGTTGGTGGTAACAAATAAACTTTTGTGAATCATTTTGTCTACTTCTTATCATCTAATTGTCAAAATAAAAAAAGTAAATGAAATGAAGTCTTTAAGCAGCCTGTGTCATTTATTCTAAACTTTTTCTATAAGTTGTCGGATTTAGTGTAAAAAGAACTCACCATTGTTATGATCAAATCAACAGGGTTTTGTTTATTAGGATTCATACGTTGCAGCCGTCGTTTGATGCTCTCGAATGATGGTCTTTCTATTGGATTATGAGATCTGCATATTGAAATAAGCTTAAAAAAAACAACATAAAAATGTTTATTTTGAGGCAAATTGAAAAAAAGCATTGAATTCTAATTTCAGGTTGGTAGAACACAAAAATATCCCAGTGTCACGTGACATAGTTTCTTTTACTGTCCTACGTCCAGCCTGGGAATAGTATATCTAATATGTCAATATATATGTTCCTGGTCCAGCAAGAAAACAGCAACAAAAAAACCTATTTAGTCGAGACCATTTGTAAATCCTGGATTGGTTGTATAAAAAGATTTGTATATAGATTTGGTGTATTAGCAGACAGTCAAATAACGATAAGTGCACTTTTAAGAATATGTTCTTACAATTATAACATAATAATTGTATTTAACCGTAAATTAATATTTAATTGTATTAAGAACCTCTTAATGTGTAGTTAAGCGCAATAACTGATCATTGAATAGAAAAAGTACTGCATGTATTTCTCACACGCAACTGGCAGGCAATTTAAAACGAAAGTATTTCTGTTTTCAATTTAAAACACAATCACGCGATCAGTAGCGTATCAAACATATTGATTCAGTATTAATACATATATTCTGTCAAAAATCTGTTGCAAAATTTGTTCATGTCTTTAGACTGTTTCGTTTACCTTACAATATTCATCCGGACATGGACAATTGTTATCGTCTGACGTTTTCTCAAAAACCGGTAATGGCGGTTGCCAGTCAATAGGCACGGAATATGGATCTTCTTCCTTTGTAGAAATAAAAATAAACTGTAGGCCTATTTTTTTATTTTCAGAATTATTTCTAAGCAGAGTGTCGTGTATATAAAGAAGTACAGCATTTGTTGATATTGTTTCATGACAAGTGATTCGGGAATCAATCGGATTGTTAACATAGCTAATAAATTTTGGAAGGGCAATGATAAGGACTCAAGAAATACAGAGTACATGTTATTTGTTCGCTATTTCAGTAAATCTTTAGATCGTGTCTGGTATAAGTTGGTTAACCCAATTTTGTCAATACAACGGAAATATTAACAACTATCATACAAGTGGGAGGTTTAGCTTGAAATAAAACACGGATTAACCCACCATTATTTCGGGAAATAACTGTACCAAGTCAGGAATATGACAGTTGTTTTCCACTCGTTTAGTTGGTTGATAACAGTTTTTATGGACTTCCCCTTTTTGATTTTAACTTGAAGTTTGGTATTTTTGTTATACTTTTTTGGTATCATAAAAAAGGAAATATTAATTTTCTAGGAATCTAGTAGACTGGTTGGCCTGCGGATAATATGAACAAAGCTAGCGATAAAATGAAGTGTGACCAGAACAGAAAGGAACTTTAAACAGTTCACGTAGATCACCAAAACAAGCAAACTTGAAAAATAAACATCAACTATCAACTCCTTGATTAAGTGTTGCTGCTTAAAAGGATACTATTGAACTAAGCGTTCGTACTGCAAGAGTTAAAGTCTTATATTTGAAGGTATCTACTGACAATGTAGTGAATTTATTTGATTTTTCTGTGCAACAGACAACACAGATTCCTAATATAAACCAGTTATTTACAAGAGGTGAAAACAAAAACACACAAACATTAAGGATTTATTCATGATACGATCACATTGTTTATACTGGTAAATAACATGTACGATACTAATTTTAATGCACCAGATGCGCATTTCGGCAATACAAAGCATAAAACACATAAACTGATCTTGGATACAGACACTCATAAGAAGAATATAAATGTTTTTCGTTAGAACTAAGCTGGAATATGAAGATGTCAATTTGGATAGTAAAACTAGTCTTTGAGTAATAGAATCGAAAACGGCAGATGCAATCCGCATGAATGGAAAGGGGTGAACTTGTTTTCCTCCCATTGCGAAAAAAAAACCCTATACTCATTCCTCATTATATAAAACAACTAAGCTGCTTGAAATATAAAAAGGGTTGATTGCTACTTACATGTATCAGCCTTACCACTTACAGTAAACATAACAAAATATAAGAATTCCAGAAACGTATAATCTCTATTGACATTGCTTATGCATATTTTTAACATCATTACATTAGCAAACAAAAAATGTCCCGTCTTTTAGTGTGTTGTTTCATCAATGAGTGATATATTGCATACAATAATAAACTTTAGTTTTAAAAATATCATTGATATGTTACTGTTCTGTAAATTTAGTGTAAAATGTGACGTTTTTAGCACAACTTTTCTGAATTTTTGGTTTTTAAAGCTGTACAACTTCGTTTTTAATTTGACCTTTCAACTGTTTCATTCGAGAAACATTGATCAGTCGTATGTCGTATCTTTGATGAGTTTGTAACACCTGTATAAACAATATATGTATAGACTTAATTAAATGTAATATTTGTAGGTCTCTTATTTTCTGTTTATTGCAACAAACTTAAACAACTAAATATGTGAAGCTAGTCGAAGAAAAACAGGCATATTATTGCCAAAAGAAAAAAGTACAGAAGACACAACGGTCTACAAAACACTACACAGAACGCTAAAGATTGGGCAACACTATCATGTACAGTGTCGATATTCGAGGTCGTCTAACAACCTAGAGTCATCTGTCACACAGATACACAAATAAGGTCAATAAAATAAAGTCGGTGTCCCTAACATTTTTGAAATGGATCTCTTTACCATTAGGAGTCCTTCTAAACAGAAGGACAAAAATTACTTCACACAGAAAAACTTTACTTTTGAACCCAATTTTAATTTCATCGCTACCACATTTTTTTTAATATTATATAAGCAAAGAGCTTGTATAGAATTTGATCTTTTTATACTCTGGCTGCATGTCTGTAGGTTTATTTACTTACCAGAAAATTACATTTATCACTATCATACGTGAGGAATACCGTTACAGAGTACACTAGTATAAAATTGACATCCAAATTTTACCTGAAATGGATCTCCCCTCGTTGCTATTTCTATCAGTATAACACTAAATGCGTATACGTCACTGTATTCAGTTGGAATAGCTTGACTTTTCACAAGATCTGGCTCCAAATATACTTGCTTTTGCTTTTTAATGTTGTCATCTTCACAGACATCAGATTTTCGGAATTTTTCCAAACCATAATCTAGAGTGTAGAAGGATAACCCAAGTTATTTGAAAATTCCATTAACAGTAATTTGGAAGCGATGAGAATTACTTCAGGCAAATATGTTAGATACGATGGTGTCATCAAAATTTTAATTATATTAGAATTATTAACAGAAATGTATACTTTTCTTACACAAAAGTGTTGCAATGATATTGCAGAATTTTAAATCTTATAACCTGAGTTCTGTGTATGTAGCTTTTACAGTTTATCAAATGTAATGGAAATATATTTTGTAATTCATGATCTTGGGTGTGATAGAAATATGCCATTTAAAACATTATTTTTGGTTGTAATGAAAGGTTATATTTGACTACATTTGATTATTTTAGTTGTGATGGAAAAGTATGTTTAAATGCATTTCATGTATCTTTCTTTATCTTTTTTTATAAATGAAAATGAAAGACATCTTTACCGATCCGCTATTTAGCAATGCCTAATCGCTTGATTTAAAGATGTCAGACCACCAATTCAAAATCCCTTTCTATTCAACCAAATTTTGCAATTTTCATAGCTTTCTAAATATTTTACCTTAAGTTTAACTTCATAGAAACCAGGTATATACTGAATTGTACATGTATCACCTTTATACATGCCAATTTTCAACCCATATATAAAGTCTTCTAAGAAAAAAATGCCCACCACAAGATAAGAACTACTAAAAATAACCTCTTGTTTTCTGGAAATCTTAAATTAGTATACTATGGAGCGCATTGATCATCAAATTTTAATGCAAACTCATAGACAAGTAAATTTTGGCTCAAAATGGTCTAAATATATTTCTCTTTCACCAAAAGTTTCATTTCTGCAAATTTGTTGGTAAGTTTAAGTAAACAATGACATCAAAAGCACTATTTTGTGTCAGAGTAGGGCTGCTTTTACATACGTTCTAAATTGGAGGGAGTGAATAGGTGGTATGACACCTATAAACTATCAACGTATTATATAGGAGTAACACGACGGGTGTCATATGAGGATTAGTATCTCAACTTACCCTTTCGTGGTATCTGTTGATCAACCGCGGGGTTTTGGTGAGGTTTCTCACTGACCAGTCTTTAGTTTTCTATGTATTGTTTTGTTTTGATTTTTTTAAGCCACAGAGTTGTCAGTTTTTATTGGACTTACCAGCTTTGAATGTCACCGTGATTTCTTTTAGTTATTACTTTGATTTGTGTCTTCTTCATCGATTAGTGAGATTTGAACATCGGTAAACTACTGTTACCTAAATTTATACATGTTTTCGGTAGAAATGGAAAAATATCTTTGAATATTGTAAATTTTTATATCATGGAACCAAACACAGTGGAAAAATGTATGATCTATGGTATTTGATTAAGATGCATACCTGTTACTTTAACTGACCATCTGTCATCCATCACACAATTGCTGGACCACAACCTCCCATGTATTATTTTATGACTGTGTAAATACTTCATACCTCTCGAAATATCGGTAGCAAAAGAAAATCTGTAAACAGAGATCAAATGGTTGACCAAGTGATTATTTTATTGTCATATGATTTCTTAATGGTCAATCTGCTATTGTTTTTCTATTTGAAACTGCATGTTATATTTTACTTCAGCTCAACAATGATTGCTTTATATCTTCTCAATGAATTTAGGATATTTGAACATCGGTTAACTTGGGTTGTGATAAAAGATCGTTACCACATTGATCATTATGAATAATCGGGTTACTGGTATAAATACAAGTAAGCTTTTGAAGTGTACTAGTATATCATTTGTCTTCATGATAAACATGATAAATATAAAAAGGGCATCCGAATATTTTAGTATGAGCAAAATTTAGTATGGTGTATTTAGTTCATATTTCAGGCAAATAAAAAAGGAACAAATATGAATGATTAAACATTTGAATATGCATTTTTTTAAGTCTTTTTACACAGTGAAATTTCACGCACATCAATTTCACGTGAATTTAAATTCATGTGAATCTCACGTGAAATTCACGTGAATTTCACCTCAAAGAGCGTATACGTGAAACTCACGTGAAATCAGTTCATGTGAAACTCACGTGAATCTCATGTGAAACTCATGTGAATTTCACGTGAAAATCGCATGAATTTTTTTCACATGAAATTCACGTGGTTTTTAAAATAAAGTAATTCATATAACATCTAAATTTTCAAATTTATTTAAAATCATGAAAAATACCATTTTTGTTTTTATTTTTTTTTTGTAAAGTTCACGTGAAATTCATGTGAAAACATTTCACGTGAGATTCATGTGAATCTCAATTCACGTGAAATTCACATGAAAAATTTCATGTGAGATTCATGTGAAATTCACGATAGCAAATTTTGCCTGTGTAATGAACTAAGAAGCCATAGTGATATGCCTCCATCTTAGCTTTATTTGCAATAAAAAGACATGATTTATAAAAATGGAGTCTGTTATTCTGCTAATTCGCATTAAACTTATGAAGTCTCCGTTCCAATCTTTTATCCTTTCCACGTGGACCAAGCCTGATTACGGGACTATTCAAATTTTGTCAATAACTTCCCGTTGATAAATTATGAAATTATTAAGAAATTAGGTTTCCAACTCCCTCATGCAAAGTTGACCATAGATTAATTTGTTTATTGATTTTGGGTCCTTTTCGGTAATATAGCTTTCCTACGGACGTTTCTACGTATTTATACTTCTCTGACTTTCAAATGATTGGCTTCAGCGTTCCTAATGAATTTAAATCAGGAAAAGCGCTCGGATGTACAAAATTTATAAAGTGATTTTCTTTTTCTTTTAGTAATACATTTTGTATAAAAATAAGGCGATTTTGTATTACTGCACAATGAAACCGCATCATGTGTTCGAGTAACAAATTTTTTATGACAGCAATCGTCGAAAATGCAACAAACCTGAATGACCAAGACAAAGGAACTTCTTCATTCAGTAACACATCATTAAGACTTCCTTTGGCACAATATGTCATTAGGATAGCAACATTTGGTACTTCTATACAGCCCCCAACAAATCTACAGATATTCTGATGATCCATTTGTCTACAAACACATAGTTAAACATTGTTTAAATTGACTTCTTATAGCGTATGTACAAAAACAGATCTTATTTGTAATCAATATCTTGATTGCACAATATCTACAGGAGGAAGTTATGTGTATAAGCTACAGTCGATGTATATTGTTGATTTCCGAATTGGTGACTTAGTTTACAAAAGTAAACAGTTAGTAGCTGTATTGTAAATGCAACCCTTTAAAACGCAAGTAATGTAAAAAGCGCACTGGAAAATGGAATCAACCTGGACGAATGTACTCCACTTGTAAGTGATAATGATTTTACTGCATATAAATGGAAAGTGCACGGTAAGAAAATTAAAGTAACCACTTTTATAGTAAAATCTGATTCTCTGTGATTCTTTATATTAAGTTGGATGGGATTTGATTACATGAATAGTTGCCAAACTTTGATTATTTATCGCCCGTTTTAAAATAAAAGATGATATAGGATATATGGCAAGAGTATAGATGCTTAGAATGAAGAATACTTATTTAAAAAGATGTCAAATATAAAAATAAAAAGATGTGATATGAATGCTTATTAGACAACTCTCCACCAGAGACCAAATGACGTAGAAGGTTAGCACTATAGGTCACCGTATGGCCATCAAATGTTTTTGATACGGTTGCTTTGGATAGACCTTGATTGTGTGTACTGTAAAAGATCTTAAGATTTTTTCTACATAAAAATATGGTTAACAAGACACCAGGAAATAATTATTCTGTAGTAGAAATTACTAATTGCAACTAACCTGTATTATATATATTATGAAAACATTTATTAATTCAAGTATGAAGCCCTAATCAAGATTGATATATAATCTGATTTTATTTTCAATAACTAAACTAAATCTTATTTGATATAACACTGACACGATCTTGTTAACCGAAAAAAATGTCTACCTGCTTTATTACATAAAATAGCACCGACATTTTGCAACAAATCCGACATACCTGACGATAAACATGAAATACACTTTTAATCTCTTAAGAATCTATTAGCATTGTTAATAGTGCTTTAAACACACCAATATCGACAATGGCACAATATTTGCAATAAATTGAGAAGGATAATCATCATATATAAAATTCTTTTCATGCTTTACATATTTAAAATAATAATAATGTAAGAGTACGCGAACCAATAACCTAAATAATAAAAAAGAGCATAATATTATCATAAGAATCATTAAATTAGGACACAAAGTTAATAGTAAGAATGTTCAAAATCAGAACATAAAGTTAAAAGTAAAAAAAAAAATGGCAAAATAAAATCGCCGGATTAGACATTCTATTGAGCTGTAAACCGTTTCGCTTCCTTTAGAGTAAAATCCAATGATAAGAAATTGAATTACCATAGCATTGGTAGACAACATAAACGTTGGATACCCCGGATGTTACATCTTCGGATTTCTACAGTTTGGTTTTGAACGTTGTATTGATGATTGGTTATCCATAAAGTGCGTTGGACACGAAATGTATTTTACTTTTCACTGCAGCTATTTCTAAAAGTCTGTCAACACTTTTTAACAATTACAGTATCAACGCCACATATATGTTCTTTGAGGTTATGAAAAACCTTATGTCAAACATGTTACTCAAGTATAAAAGCTGCAAGATGCTTCAATTCTACAAATTTAACACACTTTGAAAATAACCGAAACCGAAATCTTACCAGGAGTTAAGTATTTTCCTTATAGTTACAAATTTTTCTTCATGGTTATGGATGCCTGCCGATGCGATTTTACAAAAGCGTGTAAAATTTGAAATATTGTTTTAATATTATGGAGCACTTACAGAGTAAAATAGATGATATTGTGTGGAGATATTTTTTTTAGACTTTAATGTTCAAATTCAATAAAATTGAGAATGGAAACGGGGAATGTGTCAAAGAGACAACAACCTGACCATAGAGTTGAAAACAGCCCAAGGCTATGGAACGCCACAGCTGTCTTATGTGGAACTCTGATATTACTTTATGTTGTTTTATTATTACTTGATGATATTTTGTCTTTACTTAATATGGTTTTGACATTACGTAATGATGTTTTGATATAACTCAATATGGAATAGTCATTACTTAATGATATTTCGATATTACACGATATTGTTTCGTATTGACTTGATATAGTTTTGTCATTACTCAATATGGTTTTGTCATTACTCGATGTGGTTTCACCATTATTTAATGTGGTTGTGTCATTAGTCAATGTGGTTTTAACATTATTTAATGTGGTTGTGTCATTAGTCAATGTGGTTTTAACATTACTTGATGTGAATGTGACTTAACGTTATGTAGTTGTTTCATTACATGATGTGGTATTGTTATTTTTTAATGATGATTTGCCTATTCTTTATATGGTTTTAACATTACGTAATGATGTTTCAAAATTTGACGATTTTACACTACATGATGTGTTTGTTTCATTATTTGATGTGGTCCTGTCATTCTTTGATGTGATTATCCCATTACTTGATGAGGTAAAATCACGTGACCGATTCGGAAAAACCTGTTCTATTTTTAGATAGATTTCAGGTTGTATGTACCTGGGATGAGTGTTGCCATCCATCGAATTTGAGTTCGGGTTACTGTTTGAGTTAAACTTTGAGTTAGTCTTCGATTTCGAATTCAAGTCATTATCAGAATTAAAATTTTAGTTAGCATTGAGTTTCGAGTTGGACTTCGAGTTTGAGTCACATTTAAGGGTAGAGTTCTAGTTACAACATTAAATTTGAGTCACTTTTTGAGGTAGAGTTTGAGTAAGATTCGAATTTAAGTCTCATTTAGATTAATTCAGATTATGAGTTGAAATTCGAGCTATCTTATATGGGTTCGTAATTAAATTTCTATCGCGGAACAAGGACTTTTGCTCGGGCTTCCGAAAAGAGGGCTCCGAGTTATGCGTACAAAAGATAAACAATGTTACAGTATACAAAACGCAACATAGAAGTTGAAATAAAGCTAGATGTGGTGTGATTGACAATGAGACAACTATCCACCAGAGTTTAAATGCAGTGGATGTAAGAAATCATATATAGGCAACCGTACAGCCTTCAACACACCGTTTAGTCAGCTACAAAAGGCCACCATGCACCATGTGAAAAAATTCAAACGAAAAAACAAACGGTCTTATTTATAAATAAACAATCTACAAAAAAAAAATGACACACATTTATACAACGACAACAATTGAACTTCATGCTCCTGACTTGGGGCAGGTACATAAAGAAAGTGCACGTGGCGGAGTTTAACATGTATGTGAGCGCTAAATCCTAACCTTACATCGGACTGTTACAGTTGTGTAACAGCACAACACGAGAAAAAAATGTAAACTAGACAAAGTGATGCCCCCGCACTCAACTCATTTAACCGCTTATACCCCAAAAATGACAAAAACAAGTTCAATTGTCTCCCAAAAAGAGCAAAAGATAATAAAAATAAAAACCCTGACCACATGCACACCTACAATATATGTACAAACAGCCAGCAGAGTGAAAACTTTCTAGCATTCAAACTGTAGGAGGAGTTATCTGGAAATGTTCTTCTTATGCAAGGAAATTTCCCAAAAAATTACAAAGTTCAACTATCTCCCAAAAAAGCAAATATTAATAAACATTAAACCCTGACCACATGCACACCTTCAATATATGTACAAACAGACAGTAAAGAGAAAACTTCCTAGGATTCAAACTGTAGGAGGAGTTATGCGGAATAACTATATACCCATAATGGGACGGACAGACGGACGGACGGACGGACGGACAGGGGTAAAACAATATGCCCCCCAGCTTTCAGTTGCGGTAGCATACAAAACAGTTTCATTTGGCTGATTCAATAGATCGGTATGACTGGGTAATATAAATCCATCGGGGTGATCTCGGATGCTCCAGAAAGGCACCCGTCGTGTTATTCGAGAAAGTACAAACCCAGTGATTTGGGTTTATTTGGAAGTTTACATTCAAGGAAAAGATGACGGTATTATGGTTACGACCACTGGAACATGTCCGTCGTCACATGTGAAACAGATATTCCGAAAAGTTTATTTTTCAATTAGTGCGAGGTAGATCAGGGAATTCAATTGATTACAAATAAAAGATTGATATTCGTATAAGTTCAAATGATCATTTACGCTAAAAAAAAATTCGGAGAATTCTTATTTTATAGTATTGATGCTTTGTCGCTATGTCCGAGCCCCTTCTACCCCCGTTTCCCTGTAACTTTAGTGTGAGTTGATTTGAAGTGTTTCATTTGTTAACAATAAAGTTCAAGTCTTTTGATTTGTGTCGAGCCTGCGACATCAATGTAGCGGCAGTGAGACACAACAAACCTATATTTCGTCGTCGATAGTGGCGTCGGCGTCTCCATCTCCATTTTTTTTTTATTTCTATTGAGTTTAACCTTTCATTATACATGTTACTAAACATGTATGCCATCATAATTTTGTACTTTTAGAATATCATACTGTATTTGTTTACCTCGACTATTGTATCTGTATTTATATTGTATGTTTCTCTGTAAACTTGTATTTAGTTTTTAGAGAATAAAGTATCTATGTATCTATAGATCGTTAGGTTTCTAGTTTTTTTACATTTTTCATTTCGGGACCTTTTATAGCTTACTATAGGGTATGGGTTTTGCTCATTGTTGAAAACCATATAGTTTTGTTTTAGTTAATAAAAACCGAATTAAACTGTTTTGACATGATAAATTTGTAAACCTCAATGAAGTGTTTTAAAACTTGTATAGGAGTTATTCCTCAATTTCAAGAAAAAGCATCTACAGAAATACATTTTTTTTTAATTTTGTTTTTACCGATAAATGTATAGATAAATGTACAGTCGATCAACATGACGCTTTTACACTTACAGCAGCAATATCAGACGAGACACATGGTTCCGTGGAATATTTTACAAATTTATTACAAAAATACTGCTTCCGTTTGAGAACTTAGGATAAAAACAACAGGACCAAGTGGTTTGGGGATATCCCAATTATGTCCGAAATACTGTAAACTTTTTAATACTTTTTTTCTTATTATTGTCTGCCGTTCCCCTTTTTCATACCAAATAACTCTGAACAACCACTCGAACTTTAATTTGAACTTTAACTCAATGGATTAGCGATACCCATCCAAAGCACCTTAAACAAACGATATATTGAAATGTTTAAAAATAGAACATATTTTTTTCCGAATTGGTCACGTGGTTTTACCTCATCAAGTAATGGGATAACCACACCAAAGAATGACAGGACCACATCAAATAATGAAACAAACACATCATGTAGTGTAAAATCGTCAAATTTTGAAACATCATTGCGTAATGTTAAAACCATATAAAGAATAGGCAAATCATCATTACGAAATAAAAAAACCACATCATGTAATGAAACAACTACATAACGTTAAGTCACATTCACATCAAGTAATGTTAAAACCACATTGACTAATGACACAACCACATTAAATAATGGTGAAACCACATCGAGTAATGACAAAACCATATTGAGTAATGACAAAACTATATCAAGTCAATACGAAACCATATCGTGTAATATCGAAATATCATTAAGTAATGACTATTCCATATTGAGTTATATCAAAACATCATTACGTAATGTCAAAACCATATTAAGTAAAGACAAAATATCATCAAGTAATAATAAAACAACATAAAGTAATATCAGAGTTCCACATAAGACAGCTGTGGCGTTCCATACAAGGCCACCAATGGATCTTTAACATAACAAGAAAATCCCACACCCGGAGGCGAGCTTCAGCTGAATGGCCCCTAAACAATATTGTATACTAGTTCAGCAAAAAAGGACGTCACACTAAACATTGAAACATATAAATGAACAAAAATTAAAAAAAACATACAAGACTAACAAAGACCAGAGGTTCCTGACTTGGGACAGGCGCAAAAATGTGGCTACGGTAACCTTTCCAATTTTGACTCATTTGTGTATGATGAAAATATGCAATAATTTCCGCTATTGTTAGCGGTAATTAGCAGGTAAAATGTAACATGGCTCTCTATCTTTGTTGAAAAAAATGTTCATGCTTATACAATACATTTCTCTCGTTACTTTTCAATTGACTATTGAATTATAATCATTCTGCAAATTCCAGACCCGGACATCAATATCCTAAATCAATAACACTGGACACTTTTATTAGATATTGTTAAAGAGACGTCAACAGCACTATTGCCAGTCACTTAAGTCACTATAGAATTATCCTTGCAATATTTTCTGTCAATAATATAAAGGCTAATATAATCAGATAACCTTTTAATTGCAATTATCTTTTATACATACCTCACAGTTCTAACTTCTTCTCTTATAAATTTTGTCAATGAAAAAGATTTCTTTTCAATCCTTTTAATTGCCACCGTCTTTCCGTCTCTGAAAAGTAAAATGATTATATATAACTAAATTGTTTAATTGTTTTCATGTTTTATGCTAAAGAAAACATATTCCTTGTCCTAAGATCTGATTAAAGTCTTGGTGATAACTTTTATAAGTATGTTTACCAGTTTTGACTGAAATTCATTTCTACAAGGCTAGAAGCACGCAAACACAGGGTTATAACAACAAATCACGGTACTTAACGGACAAAGACTCTCATAGTTTCCCGGCCGTCTCACTGCAAGAAGACTCTCCTCTATACATGCGGACCTTGTAACATTGCATTTCACAATGATAAAATCCTAAAGGTTTCGTACAAAAAAGTATGGCCTTAAAAACACACCAGATGAAAATAATACCTACACTTACCTTATAGGTGTCAGACCTCCAATTCAAAATACCTATCTATTCAACCAAATTTTGCAATTTTCACAGCTTTCTAAATATTTTACCTTAAGTTTAACTCCTTAGAAACCAGTTATATCCTGAATTATACATGTATCACCTTTCTACATGTCAATTCTTAACCCATGTTTAAAGTCTTATAAAGAAGAACTGTCTTTCGGAAGACAAGTACTACTAAAAATAACCCCGGTTTTCTGGAAATCTTGAATTAGTATACTATGGAGCGCATTAATCCTCAGATTTTAATGCAAACTTATATACAAGTAAATTTTGGCTCAAAATGGTCTAAATATATTTCTCTTTCACCAAAAGTTTCATTTCTGCATTTTTGTTGGTTAGTTTAAGTAAACAATGACATCAAAAGCACTATGTTTTGTCAGAGTAGGGCTATTTTTCCATACGTTCTAAATTGGAGTGGCTGAATTGGTGGTTTGACACCTATACAAGTTAACCGATTTCAGATCATCTTGAAATATAATGCCATTAGATACGCCATAGTTTATTATGTTAAGTTCATTTTCTCAAGTATTTGCATGATGACATGTTGTTACAGGGTAGTGGAATGATTAGCATAAATGATGAAAAACAACAATTATTGAAGAGCTTTCCCAACTTGAGACGGACACATTATCATACAGCGATGTTAAGATAGTTCGGTGATTATTCAACCATCTACCTTTTACGTCTATATGTGGAGAAACAAAAAATATGGAGTTGAAAATAAACTCATAATAGATACCAGGATTAAACTTTTGCACGTCAGATGCGCGTTTCGTCTACAAAAGACTTCAGTAACGCCCGAATCAAAAAATTTAAAAGACCAAATAAAATAAGAAGTTGAAAAGCACTGAGGACCCCAAAAAAGATTTTGCTAAATACAGCTAAGTTAACGTGGGTTTCGTCTACAAAAGACTCATCAGTGACGCACGAATCAGAAAAGTTAAAAAGGCCAATTAAAGTAAGAAGTTGAATAGCATTGGGGACCCCAAAAAGGTTTTGCCAAATACAGCTAAGATAGTCTATTCCTGTGGTAGAAAATCCTTAGTATTTCAAAAAAATCAAAGTTCTTTGAACAGTTAGTTTGTAATAATGACCATATAATGATAATTCGTGTCAACACAGAAGTGCTGATCACCGGGTTGGTGTTACCCTCGGGAAGGACTAAATAAAATACTAGTAGTACAGAAGGATGTTCCAAGTCATACAAAATAGAACAGAAGGATGTTCCAAGTCATACAAAATAGTACAGAAGGATGTTCCCAGTCATACAAAATAGTACAGAAGGATGTTCCCAGTCATACAAAATAGTACAGAAGGATGTTCCAAGTCATACAAAATAGTACAGAAGGATGTTCCAAGTCATACAAACTAGTATGTATAGAAAGATGTTCCAAGTCATACAAAATAGTACAGAAGGATGTTCCAAGTCATACAAAATAGTACAGAAGGATGTTCCAAGTCATACAAAATAGTACAGAAGGATGTTCCAAGTCATACAAAATAGTATGTATAGAATGATGTTTCAAGTCATACAAAATAGTATAGAAGGATGTTCCAAGTCATACAAAATAGTACAGAAGGATGTTCCCAGTCATACAAAATAGTACAGAAGGATGTTCCCAGTCATACAAAATAGTACAGAAGGATGTTCCAAGTCATACAAAATAGTACAGAAGGATGTTCCAAGTCATACAAACTAGTATGTATAGAAAGATGTTCCAAGTCATACAAAATAGTACAGAAGGATGTTCCCAGTCATACAAAATAGTACAGAAGGATGTTCCAAGTCATACAAAATAGTATGTATAGAATGATGTTCCAATTCATACAAAATAGTATAGAATGATGTTCCAAGTCATACAAAATAGTATAGAATGATGTTCCAAGTCATACAAAATAGTACAGAAGGATGTTCCAAGTCATACTAAATAGTACAGAATGATGTTCCAAGTCATACAAAATAGTATGTATAGAATGATGTTCCAAGTCATACAAAATAGTATAGAATGATGTTCCAAGTCATACAAAATAGAACAGAAGGATCTTCCAAGTCATACAAAATAGTATGTATAGAATGATGTTTCAAGTCATACAAAATAGTACAGAAGGATGTTCCAAGTCATACAAAATAGTATAGAATGATGTTCCAAGTCATACAAAATAGAACAGAAGGATCTTCCAAGTTATTCAAAATAGTATGTATAGAATGATGTTCCAAGTCATACAAAATAGTACAGAAGGATGTTCCAAGTCATACAAAATAGTACAGAAGGATGTTCCAAGTCATACAAAATAGTACAGAAGGATGTTCCAAGTCATACTAAATAGTACAGAATGATGTTCCAAGTCATACAAAATAGTATGTATAGAATGATGTTCCAAGTCATACAAAATAGTATAGAATGATGTTCCAAGTCATACAAAATAGAACAGAAGGATCTTCCAAGTCATACAAAATAGTATGTATAGAATGATGTTTCAAGTCATACAAAATAGTACAGAAGGATGTTCCAAGTCATACAAAATAGTATAGAATGATGTTCCAAGTCATACAAAATAGAACAGAAGGATCTTCCAAGTTATACAAAATAGTATGTATAGAATGATGTTCCAAGTCATACAAAATAGTACAGAAGGATGTTCCAAGTCATACAAAATAGTACAGAAGGATGTTCCAAGTCATACAAAATAGTACAGAAGGATGTTCCAAGTCATACAAAATAGTACAGAAGGATGTTCCAAGTCATGCAAAATAGTACAGAAGGATGTTCCAAGTCATACAAAATAGTACAGAAGGATGTTCCAAGTCATACAAAATAGTATGTATAGAATGATGTTCCAAGTCATACAAAATAGTATAGAATGATGTTCCAAGTCATACTGATTTTTTTTATCTGTTGAGAATGAGATAACTTCTTATAATAATCATACACATTGAAGTTTTTACTGTTCATCAAAGTCGAAAGAAAAATTCTGATAATAAACATGAAAAAACGTTGAAAAAATTTGAAATGAAAGAATGTTTCCAGACTGACCACAATTAAACACAAGTTTGAGCTTTTTAAAAAGCTGTGGACTGCTTCGCTCTATCCTAATTTAAGGTAATACGTGTGCATGTGGTTGTTGATTTAGTATTGGAAATGTGGTATTTTTAGATATTGATTGATATAAAATAGATGTCTTAGTCTTGGAATATCAATTTTCGTATATATATTAAGATGAACTTTTCTAAAATTTTAAACTGGCTGTTCAGTGTTGTACGTTATACACCCATGCTTTTAAAAAAAATTCGATTTACTTGTTGAAATTTAAAACATTTACAAAAAAAAAAAAGTAAAATCACAAAAATACTGAACTCCGAGGAAAATTCAAAAAGGAAAGTCCCCAAAACACGACTCTCGGGGTGTGCCCAGATTGGCAGAAGTTATTAAATACAGATAATGCATTTTTGTAAACATTGTATAGGAACATTGTTTAGCTAAACAAATCGTGCATTTTACAGATTAACAAAGCAAATAAACAGGTGTTAAAGAATTGATATTTCAATATTGAATTTCAGTGTGCAATATTTGCATAATAAAACGAACATGAATTAGTAACACTTGATCGGAACTGAAATACACATAGTTAATTTTCCGGCATTTGATGTCTTATCCTGAGACGAGAAAAGTCTGTAATTCTTTATCTCATTTAAGCCAATAGCTGTTGCTGTATCGCAGCCGAATCATAAAGCAACCAATCAGAATCTTTATGTGATAAGTAATTATTTCAAGATGGCGTGTATATCGACTGAAACTAATAGCTCCGCATCGTGATGCGAAGCAATAAGAGAAAATCATACAGTGCGCATATTTTAGTAAAAAAAATTAAAAAAATAATATTTGACAAATATCATTTTCAAGAGGATGAATTCAAAAGAAAAACTTGACAACACTATACAAGTCACATTTTGAAGCACGTTGGAAACCTTTTGCAGCACGTTGGAAACCGTTATGTATGGAGCACTTACAGAGTGATATAACCAAAATCAATTCATAAAAAACCTAGTCATCAAAGTTTTGTTATTCTTAGCTAAAAGAAAATATTGGTAAAAGTATTACGTGATGACTGTGCGTATTATATTTTTTTTTTTATTATTGGTTTTGTGGCTAAAATGTTTACTTTAACACGAAACATTTCCTCGCGATCGTTATGTCTTCACAATGAAAATGAAATTTCATCGTTATACAATCATTGATCTTTGATCTTTATGTTGACCTCTGAATGCCATCTTTTCCCAGATTTATACGAAAACGTGCTTGTATAGTAATGGAATATGTTTTTCCTACGCTGATTAAGGTGATACAAATGTGTTCAAGATTTGTGCGTGTTTGTGGTTTTCAGAAGTGAGGCGTAAAATGAATATCATATTGAACAAATTAAGTTTTTCAAATGACACAAATTGGGGAAAGATTTGTCTGAAATACTTTTTTTGCTTGAATCATATAAAAACATTACTTTGAACTTCAATCGGTTGGCTTCTCGAGAATATGAAAAGAAGCTAACGTTATCCTTCAACTTCACGTTCCGCCAAAAACACAATGTACTCTGAT